TCAGAGGGAAACCCAGTTTCTCTTTCTTGCCTCATCCCTCAACCTAAATATCTGTATTAGTGGAAAGGCTACATGGAATATAATAAAGAGCTCCCAAATATATACAGATCACAGCAAACTGTTCCTGCACCACCATAACTTTAAGAACATCAACATTTGCTCCCAAACAAAACAAAAACCAAACACCCAAACACCTGCCCATCAAATTGCCTAGGGCAAAAGGATGGCACGAAAGGCAAGCATTTCTCAACCGATGTCAACTGAGGTCACCTTTAAACACCTAGTTTCCCTTGGGCTTGTCTTAGAGAATGCTCAGGTTCCCGATGGCCAGGTCCAGAATGCAGTGCAGAGTGACTCCATCCAGGCTCAAGTAAGCTATTAGCTTTTCATCTCTACAACATGAGAGATGGACTAACGCTCTCAAGTTTTGGTCTACCACTTACAGGGCACACTACAGAAATCATGCCTCTTTGGAGTTGTACGCTTCCCCTGGGGTCAACCAGCACCACCAGCTTTCATGGTTCACAGCACTGTCGCTCAGGACTTTGGTTGTGCTGCTGCTCAAAGCTTTCTTGGTTTTTGGGGTCAGATACTGGAAAGAACAGTAAACGTGAGTGAGAACAGAATCCACGTTTACTGATCCGCTGTGACCCTGTAGGACAGAGTAGAACTGTCCTGGAGGGTTTCCAAGACTAGAATATCTCTAGAAGAAAACAGCTATATATCCTTTCCCCCAAGGAGTGGCTGGTGGGTTTAAACAGCCAACCCATCAGTAAGCAGCCAGGGGCTTAACCATTATACCACGAGGGTGCCTTTACAAGAAAAAGATCTCTTGTTTTGCGCATGTTTCAAAGATTGGGAGTTGGGAAAGGGTAGCTAGACATTAAGGAAGATGGCCTCCTCCAATCAGGCCAGCCATGTGAGTTGGCTGTGGGGAGAACAGAAAGCAAAGGCCGCAGGAGAAGTCAGGGCTGCACCTCTGGCTGCCTAGAGGCCTGTCCATGGGGACTGTCTTCAGGCCTGACTGGCCCAAGCAATACAGTGAACAGGTGGCTCTGCATCCTCTAACGTTTCACTCTTCATGATGCCTAATGAACATTCCTTTCCCCCACCCTGGTTACTATCCTTAAAGGCCTTGGGGGAAAACGCCAGAGAGGGAGAATTAGAGAAGTGCACTCCAGGTTTGAGAATTTTGACTTTCCAGACCGTCCAAATTCGGTTTTACAAATTCATGTGGTGGCACAAGGTGAAGCCAAATAACAACGTCCAGAGAGGGAAAGCAATTCCTGTTTATCATCCCATCTTCAGACGCTATGAATTCTCTGCAACGGTGACTGGGAATAAATGTCCCTCTTGTCTCACTTGATAGCCAGGGACAGAACCAAAGAAAAATCTTGGCTTCACCACCTCCCCTTACAGAAGGTAAAATACTTTACACAGACAGATTTCTGTTGGAGTTAGACTAGATTTCTTTTCACAGCCCTTAATCTCACGAGGTGAGAAGGAACAGCAGTTGCCAAGTTGTTGGCTACCAGACCCATCAGTCTGTTTCACTCTGGCTAAACGCAGAGAATAATGGGCAAGTGACCAAGTTTCTCCCCCATCAGCTCAGGCACTGGCACAAATACTGAAATTGTGGAAGTTCCATGTTACACACACATTGCAACTTCCACTTGCCACAGGTCAGAACACTGTGATTTTCACAGCTCGCACAAAACCTGTCTCTGGAGGTTCAAATCCACCAGCTGCTGTGCAGAACAGAGATGGGTCCGCTCTTCTGATTAAAATGTACAGCCTCGGAAATGGGGTGGAAGTGCACTACGAGTCAGGATTGAGTGTGTTTTTTTTTTTTAAGCTGGATTCATACTCTGGCAAACTCAGTGCCGCACTCCATTCCTCATCCCCCGCCCCCCCCAAATCGGGTGATGAGTAAATGTTCCTTCTTTTTTCTTCTTTACTTTTCGCATTCCTGCTCGTAAATGTTCTTTCAATAAACATACATCAAACTTTATGTTTCTGCCAGTTCTTTACAAGTGAAAAACATGGGATTAGGTGTTGTGGAAAAGGGGGGGGGGGGAATCCAACCAAAAAAACCCCAGAACTTTTGCAAATTGTCAAAACTCAAACACCATGTCTGTCATCAAGCCAATTCTAACTCAAAGTGACCCTCCACTGGGTTTTGAAAGCTGTAAATCTTAATTAAAGCAGACTGCCTCACCTTGTTCCTGTGATGTGGCTAGAGGGTTTGAACTGTTGGCTTTTCGGTTACTAGTCTTAATTGTAACTCATAATACCACTAAGGCTCCAAAGGTGTGAAGACTTACATATATACAGTGTAGGGGGTCAACGGTGCCCACTTCATCCCTTCACTGTAATACAAAGTGAAGAGAGAACTGAAGGGTCCACTTGGTGACCCCATGAAGCCTGGTAACAGGAGCATCATAATGAGGAAATCTGCCTTCTGCCCTGTTCTTCATCGTGGTTCGGAGTCCGAGCTTTAAACCTCCTACTGTCCAGTCAGGTCTGACAGGATCAGACTGGGGTCAAGTCAGCTCGGCCAGAGGCTCCCAGAGGAAAGGCTGGCTCTGATGAATAAATTAAGAGGCCATCTATCAAAGATCAATGACCCACAAAGCGAAAACCATGTGGTGTCTGCATGTTCAGCAAATGCTCTCTTTTCAAAGAATTCTCTATTTGGTGTCAACCTGGGTCTGATCTCTAATGGCCACTGTCCACTGCCTTACTCGTTGAGGTGAGCGTGCCGACTCTTACTATATCCAAGAATATGACAACTAAGGCTTCAGGGTCACAGAACACGGTCCCTGGCCTAATGGGTGCATCTTATTTTTCAATGATCAGGCTTATTCATAACAGATATATGTGTCATATTTGGGTGGTACAAGGATGCTGGTAAAAGCGGAGAAGCATTGCTTCTAAATATAGCAATCAGATAAGTCCTAAAATGCCAGTGGAATTTAAAAAGGGGGGAAGGGTAGATTACTGTTCTGAATGAAGGTCCACATTTATTAAGAAAAGACTCTATATTCCAATACAAATCTAAAGGCTATCTCTGTTTTAAGTTTATGGAAGGAAATATGAATAGGCTTTAAAACTTTGTGGTTGATTGCCTTTGAGTCACACACGACTCACAGTGACCCTCTGAAAAAAGGCCTAAAGCCTTTCTATAACAAACAACATTTATCAAAGGTCATAGAGTTTCCAGATCCATGTTGTTAGGAAGTGGATGCCACTCCTGCTGCCTAAAACTTTATAAAACATTAATAATGTGGTACTCTATATCACTGAAGCCCTTTGTAATAACCACGTTTGTTTTTTTTTTTAAAGTAATTTTTCAGTTATCAAACAGGCATGAGTATAAACATGGATGTTACTACCTCTTTAAGTTTTATAAGTTTCCTGCTGGCTTTTGGCATCAAGATCTCCCTATCTGCCGCGCATGATCTTTAAATAGGAGAAAATACCCTTCTTAAAAAAAAATTGTTACAAATATTTATTAAAAAGTGCAATTCAAAAGTTAGCTGGGCAAGCACATCATTGCAAATCACAAAAGTTGGGGGGAGCAAAAAAGGGGGCACACACACACAAAATATACAAATAAAACGAGAAAAAAGTAAAACCCAGTCAGCGTGCTGAGGAGTGAACCCAGAAAGGTGAGGATGGGAGAAGCGGGAGAACCCCTGCCTGGGCGGCCCTGTTCCTTCAGAAGAGGGCGAGGGGGCGGGACACGCAGCCTCCACCGCCCAGCTCGCGTGGGGTTCAACTGCTGCTCGCTTCACTCTGAGGACAGTTAGGAAAAGAATCCGAAGCTTGACTGTTAGCATCTCAGCAGCTTTAGTGACTTAAACTCAAAGTCTCTGCCAGGTCAGTTTCGAATGGCTCAGTCATTTGAACGGTTGGCAGAATCAAGCTGGCGTCTTAGGGAAAGAGAACGAAGCTCACCTGCCCACCTTCACCACTCCTCACAGGGAAAGGGCAGTCGGGTCCAGAACAGTGTCAGGTCGTGACGGCTTCTGAGTAAACACAACGCATGTACTAATGGCTGTCGGTACCCACCCGTTATGGAGGCGGTCAGTGAGGACACGCCTGTATCCTGACTCACTCAAGTGCTCCTGATGGATGGCTCGGCAACCCCCTCCTGAAGGTTCTCCTCCCGGCTGCCCCTTTGGGAAGAAGTCCTAGACAGCAACATGGACGACCTGGCAAAGCTCTGGCCCCGACCTAAAGCCACAGCATCGACTCTGCCCTGAGCTGTGCAAACGCGGGGTCATGTTGCCCTTTCCTTCCGTTTATTAAAGCCACAAGCTATTAGCACCCCCAAAAGCCCAGTGCTTTTCATTATTTTCCATTACTTGTTTCTCCCATGAGGGGGGGAAAAAAATTTAAGTGCCTGGAAAAGCATCCCAACCCAGCACTTATCCCTGAAGAATGATTCGCTGCATTTTCTGTCATCAGCTGCTCTGAGCTTTCTACCATCACTAACAACCAGTTCTTGGGGACTTGAAAAATGCTACAGCAATAGAAAATGAGACACGTGGAACCTGCATTCCCAAGAGGACAGAGACACACGCTCTGGGCCATGGGAAGGTTAGCGGAGGGAAGGGCTGCCAGGGACACGCGGAAGGAGCAACAGACTCGCAAGCTGAGTCTGCTGGCCTTTCTGGGCCACTCAGATCCACTGAGGGGAAACACGAGCTCTCTCCGGGGAGGAAGGCGGGGGCCCGTCCTCCTTGGACTGGAGGGCAGTGGGGGCTTCCCTCACGGGGCTAGCCCCTGGAGTGTGCAGTCCTCTGGGTCCTCGCCCCATGGCCCAGCCCCAGCCTGCGCTGGGATGGAGGCGCTGCCTCAACCGTGGGTCACGGGGCCCCTCGCTGCGGTGGTGTGTGTTGATGAGAGGAATGTGAGTAGAATGTCACGTCGCATGTGCTCGCCTCTCCTGGCGCCCTCAGTTCATCTGCAGGAGAAACTCGCAGCGCGCCCCGTCACAGCACAAAGAAGAGGATGAGCACAACCAGCAGCACCGCGAAGAGGATGGCTATCGCACACCACTGGCGCCGGTCTACAAGGAAGGACAGGACGGGAGGGTTAGTGGATCTGAGGACAGGGGCCCTGTGCTCCCCAGTTCCGTGGGAGTTAAGGCAACACCTCTGAACAGGCAAGGGCAGACTTCATGTGTGATGGGGGCGGACAGGACCTCGTGCGGGTACCTGGTGCTCACGGCAAGGCCAGACCCCTGGATGTTTGCACCAATGAGTGTGTGCTTTGTGTCTAAGCCTTTCAGGAAAGCCCAGGGCTCTTTGCTTTTCAGTACTGAGTGGTGCATCTCCGGAGGAGGGGGCAGCACTAGTTTTATAGGTCAAAAGTCTGTCTGCTTTATTCTTCTCCCCAGAATCAAATCGCTACTTCAACCACAACTCCATTCCCTCTGGAATGAGAATTATGGCCGGGTGGAAAAGAGACGACAGGGACTCGTGGCCACCTCAGGCAGAAGAAGAGCTGAAAACAAGAGGGAAGAGTGTGTGGAGGTCATTCATTCAGTGCCTGTGTACATGGTGTCTGCTCCGAAGCTCGCTCTACCAACAGTCTGGAAGAGCCACAGGAAGCACAGTGGTTACGGCCCATCCACGGGGCTGAGATCAGGGTGGCCTGGGCCAGACAGGCCCCCTTGGACCCCCGAGCTCTACAGCAGCTGCCTCGTCGTGGGGCTATTGTGACAATCAAGTGTGAACAGTCACATGTGATGGACAGTGCCTAAGGGGGCGCAGGGGACAGTGCTGCTGCTGTTGTTAGGTGCTACTGAGTTGATAAGGGGTCACAAGGGACGGCGCTGTTGTTGTAAGGTGCCGTCAAATATGACTCATAGCAACACTTTGAACAACAGACCTGAACCCTGTCCTCTCCTGTGCCATCCTGACATTCTTGGGCCCATTGCTGCAGTCACTGTGTCAATCCACCTCATTACAGGTCTACCTTTCTTTTGTCAACCCTCCACTTTTCCAAGCATGAAAAAGCCTCTCCTAGCAACACGCCTAAAATATGTGAGATGAAACTTCACCAGCCTTTCCTGCAAGGAGCACTCCAGCTGCACCTTCTCTAAGACATAGCTGTTTGTCCTTTTGGCAGCCATGGGGTATTTAGCTCAAAGGCATCAATTTTCCTCCTGTCATCCTTATTCAACAACCAGCTTTCAGATGGCAAATGACTGAAAAGACCATGGCCTGGATCGGGCGCACCTTAGTCTTCTTTAATTTGAGGGAGATGCAGAAAGAACAAACAGGTGATCTTTCCATAGATGTGTCCTGGTATTTCCTACACAAGCTAAGAGGGATGAGAGAAGTTTATCGGTCTGTGTGTGACTGGGGTTCAGTCCCTAGGAATGAGTCCCACAGAAAGAGCTAGTGTTCTTGAAAGTGCAGACTCTAGGAGCACACAGGCACTGAGAATGACTTTCTAATAAAGTTCAAGTTTAGCAATACTAGCAGAATTGGTATGTGCATAAAATTATTTTAACTGTTATGAATACAAAGGTCTTAAACCTGGCCAAGAGAACTGACCCTGAATTATAGTCTATCTTCTTAATGGGGACCACCATGCTTGATCTCACATACGTTAGAAACTCTTCTAGTCAAAGGGTGACCAAGACAAAGACTCCAAGTCTGCCCTGGTCAGAATGGTTGTCTCACATGGCAAGGGGGCAAAGATGACCTACCAATCTATTCAACATCACTTTAGTAACCAAGTAAACTTTGTATCTAACATTTAGTTTCATCCACTTATTTTTTACAATAATTTTAAACTGATCTCATTAAATGACTAGTTGAAGTCCTCCCAAGACAAAAGGAGGTTAACAGCCCCTTCCACACACATCTGTGCCTTTCTCAGGGCCCCACTTCCAGTGCTGGACCAAAAGGTTCCATGCCTCTCCCCTGTGCCCCCTTCCCACCTCCACTCACTCACTGTTTGTTCTACAGTTGCAGTAGAGAGGGATTTTCATCCAGGAGGAACACGCTGCACACACAAGCTGGCACAACCCAGGAATGTGCTTTTCATGCCAGAGAAGTTGCTTCTAGAAGTAGGAACCAGTTAGCCTCAAGGATGCGTTGTCCTGACAACTTCTCCTCATATTTCTCGTAAAGTTTAATGCAGGGGAGGAGTGGGTACCACACTAACCCTAAGCACTACCTCAAGTGAAAGCTTTAACCACCTTGCAAGCTCAGGATTGCCTCAAAAAGTCAAGAGCAGCAAAAGAAACACCAATCACGGTTTCCCCTCCTAACATTCTTGTGTGCTAAAGAGAAAAGAGGAGCAAGAAAATTTTCAAAAGTGAGAGAAGTGTCAATATCTACTCAAAAGACTATGCTTTCTCTGAGTAGAAGAATAAACAGAGATTATTTCCTTTCTTGAGTCATTAAAAGGAGGAAGAGTGGGCTTTTGGCTGATCTTTCCCCATGAAGCAGCTAGCCATTGGAAAGGGAGGTACGTTCCTCTCAAGAGCTGTGGCTTATGCACGTTTGCTGATGGCTTCATCAAAAGTTGATGGATCCTTTTTCGACAAATGGTGCTGGCAAATCTAGACTACTACCTGCAGAAAGCTGAAGCAGGATGCACTCCTCTCACCATATAGAAAACCAAGTCAAAGTGAATCAGAGACCTAGGGGTGAAGCCCCAAACCATAAAGATCAGAAGAGACAAAGTAGGGCCAAACTTAGAAGGCTTTTAGTCCATGGTATAAAAAGGCTGACAAATACAGGTAGAAATACACAGCAAGGAGAGAATAAAATTGATGAATGAGATGTTCTAAAAATTAAATCCCTGTGTGCCTCAAAATCTTACTCCAACAGGGTGAAAATAAAACCTACTGACTGGGAAAAAAACATTTGGCAATGCCATCTCAGACAAGGGTCTCATAACTAAAGTTTACAAAATACTCCTGGGCTCCAGAAGAAAAAGACCCAATTACAAAATGGGAAAAAGACTTTTCACAAAGCAAGGCATTTGGATAGCTGACAAACACATGAAGAAATGCTCAAAAATCACAATGAGATACCATCTCTCCCTAGTAGCCGTGGCAAGGAGCAGCAGGGCAAAAAGCAAGAAATGATGGAGAGGATGCAGAGAGATAGGAACTCTCATACGTTGTTGACGGACTATAAAATGGTACAACCACTCTGGAAGGCAGTTTGGTGAGTCCTCAAAAAGCTGAACATAGAAATTCTATATAATCTAGCTGTTCCACTGTTTAGAATATACCCTGAGAAAATGTGAACTGAGACACGAATGGAGATTTGTGAACCAATGTTCACAGCAGCATTATTCACCATTGCAAGAACATGGAAACAGCCCAAAATTCTAACCTTAATCAAAGAGAGTGAGAAACTGTGGTACACTCATGTGATGGAAAACGCAGAAAGCAACATGCAGGAACAATGATTTAGAAGACTACAACATAACCTGGGAGACACTGGAGAGCATTATACTGAGTTAGCTAACTCAGTCCCTTAAGGACAAATACTGTATACGCCCAATACTGTATAAATAGATAACTAGTAAAACGGGTATAAGGATCCAATGGGGAGGAAGGGAGGAGCAGAGGGGTGAGGATGGGCAAGGAGGAAAATCATAAGGGAGTACAATCTGATGCATGGAGGGAGGGGTGGGAAAGGAAATGGCAAAGATCCAGCAGGGACATGGAAAGACAGGGCAATGGTGGGATTATTTAAGTGTTGATTAATTTTATAAAAGATAATAAATGGGAATAATAGTATGAAACACAATGTGGATGAAGAAAGTGTGAAAAGCAGTGTATACAAACTTTGTAAACAAATCAATATAAAACAAAAATTTATTTAATTTAAAAAACAGTATCATAAAATAAAAAAATTGATGGATCCCGATACACACTTTCTTGATGTGCACATTTGGTTAAGAAGCAATGAACCTGCCCTCAAATTATGACTCAGAACAGAGGCAAATAAAAATGTCTGGCCATCAAACAGAAACAGACACCACCAGGCAGTTGGTCTAGCAGCAGTATTTTTTTCAGTGATGGATACAGATTAAAACAAAACCCACAGACAAACTGCCTGTAGCGCGACAGATCGCTTTCATATGGGCTTTGCAGCCAGGGTCTTTTAACCCCCTTAACTGTAGGACTATGCAAATAGGGGCTTGTGATTCACTATGGGGCTTCAGCAAATGCCAATAGTAATAATAATCCCAATAAGATCCATGATGCCCTTGTGGGGTAGCAGAGACCTTAGCACCGCTGGGCTCAGAGATTTACTGGCGGAGCCTGGTACCTTCAGCATGCATGCATTGGTGAAACTAATAATTTTATAACACTTGCCTGTGCAGGGCTGAGTAGTTATGGGACCGTGAGCAGAAGGGAAGGCTTGCCTGCAGGTGTGGCTGAGCAGCGGTCCTGATCGAGGAACTGTATCCTGAGTGGTTCCTGATCCTGACTGTGACTGGCTATGTCCCTAAAAACTATGAGCATGGCCTGTAAATACTGTGTGGCCACAGCTTTGAATTACTGAACTCGGGAGAGTGCTGTGGGAGGAGCAGCTGACATCACAATTGGTAAGATGTCAGAGAGACGAGGTATGTCTGATCACTACTTCAGAGGAATCAGTGCTGGGCTGTTGCTGATGGTGATCTGGTTTCTTTCTTCTGAATACAGGCCACATGACACAATTTTTTTACTCTCAAAAGTGAAGGGCCTTTCAGGCCAACGTGTCTGTTTTACTGGCTCTCTTTCTTACACAAATACAAGCAAAGTTCTTGCTTTGCTCTCCAAACTTTTCTTCTGGGAGAAAGCAGAATAAAGCATAAGCAAGCCTCAGTGCTATTTATATACACTGAACTGCTTATCACAATGCAAGTACTTTTCTAAATTATTCATACCCAGTCTGCAGGGTAACAAAGACACAGTGCATCTTTGTTCGTTTGCTCTTCCCTAAACAAAACCTCCACTGAAGTAGCTACTTGACTTTGTGGCTAGTACACACTCTAGCGAGAAGTTGGTGCTTAAACAAGTTATGTGTATCTTACTCCATTAAAACTTTTTTTTTAAAGCACAGAGATGGAGGTTAAAGAGGAGAGAACAAAGAAAATCACGAAGATGACTATGAAACCTCTAAGGCGTGAAAGACGAATTAAACTGGAGCTCACTTCTCATCTACGCCCAGTTCAGGCTACAGAGAGCCTGCTGGAAGCGTAAAGCTATTTCCCATGGAGAGGGATGGAAATAGCTCTAGCTTTCTACTTTCCTGTATGGTGGACATAATATGATCTTTGACCCTTAGGGCTATCTGCTACCTATGTTTTAACCAAATTGGTGGCTCAGTGATAAGACCATGCACTATGAACACAAAGGTATAAGGTTCGGATCCATGAGCTGCTCCTTGGGAGAAAGACAGGCAATCTCCTCTTGCGTCAAGTACAACGTCTGAAAAGCCACTGAAGGGTCGGCTGTGATTTGGTTCCAACAATAACAACATTTACCAAGGGCTATACATGGCAGACCCTGTCAAACACATTTACACAATTACTTCTTTGAATCCTTTCCATGACTCTGAGAAGCACCACCTAGTTTTCATAGAAAACAAACTAACTCCACCCATTGTTATGCAGCTTGTTTATAAGATAAACAAGTGACAAGCAAACGTGCAGTGTTCAGACTCAGCTACAAATGGCTATACAGACTCAGCTACAAATGGCTATACTACTAGAGCCTAGAACACGTACTGACAGGAGAAAACCAAGACTGAAGTGGCAGGAGACAGGAGGCTCTAACAGAGCAGGCGGGTGAAGTACTGCCCTGGATCAGGGCCACTTAGCTCACTTCAAAGAGCATCTCAGCTCCTCCCTCCACCACCAGCCTCATCAGTAAGGAGGAGAGACTGCATTCCCTCTGATGGGAACATAATAGCTAACTGGAAAAGTGTCACCGCTTCAGAGCCACCACAGAAAAAAATTTCTCAAAACATTTCATGCTGGATTTAAACATAATATTTCAATTTGCTCTGCAAGACAATCTTATTTAGAAATGATAGGAGTTTTCTTTCAATAAAACAAAGTTCAGCAGAAACCAGTACTTGGTTTCTGAACGATGTTTTGAAAAACCTTAAGCTGACAGGAAAATAGTAAAAAGGATAAAGGTTTTGTGATTCTACAGAAGTTGCTCCCTGGAGGAAACAGCAAGCACCAGCCTCCATCCCCCGGTACGGTGAGGGCGACAGTCTAGTGAAGTTGAGTATTCTTTGCTAGGGCCTTTTCCAAGTTAGGGCAACAAGTGGAAGATCAGGTCTGTACATTACAGTTTTCCACTCCTTGACTCTCAGGAATCACAAAAAAAGTTCCCGAGATTAGCTCAGTCTCTTAAGGACAAATACTGTATAAGACCCTTATTGTAAAAATAGATAACAAGTAAGATGTGGATAAAAGTCCAAAGGGGGAAGAGGAGGGAGGCAGAGGGGCTAAAGAGGAGAGGGAGGAAATCACAGGGTCGCAGAGTTTGGTGTGCACAATTCCTGAAGGAATTAGCAAAGATCCATTGGGAACCTGAAAAGATGATGTGACAGTGATATAGATCAATGGTCATTCATTTGATAAAATAGTTTATCAGGATGATGGTATGAAACACAATGTGAATGAGACAAGGTGTGAAACATAATGTATACAAATTTTGTACACAAATCAACATAAAAGTAAAAAAAAACCCATAAAACCCTACAAATCCTTGGCCCCAGAAAAATACTCCTCAGGAGGAGAGGACAGAACCCTTGTGAATTGTGCTGCTATGTTGAGTCAGTGTCTGGGCCTTTAAGCACATACATACCACTGGTCATGTGAGATACTTTTGCAAGCTTCTTCATCACATTGTCCAGTCGAGATTGAGTGCTTTCCAACTCGTGAGAGAAATCATCGAGCATTCTAGAGAGAAGCAGACAAGACAACAACAGGTCAGCAAAAACTAAAGCAACACACTAGCTATGGACTTAAATCAGGACCTAGTCAACATCAGACAGGCAACACGGGATTCAGGCCCCAAGCCCTTATCCAAAATCACTGAGGCCAGTTGTGTTTTGAATTGCAGAATTTGGGAAATTTTTTTAAAAAGGTCCTATGACATATACTGCATATTAATCCAGTCAGGTCCTGAAGTAGCCCCCAAAATAAAAAACATTATATTTCTGCAGATAAAATAATAAAAAAATCATAGCAGCAGTTTTTCCTGTAGCAGAGTTTGCGGTAAACTTAAACTTGGGTTTTTAGGACTTCAAGATTGCAGAAAAGATGGCACAGACAAACAACTCAATAATCCAAATTCCATGACAGTACAGTGTTGAACAAGAAGGTTCTCTGGAGTCCAACGATCAGACTTTGACACATGTTCACCTAGAAAGACCCCCTACAACATGTGGGATTTTTTCTTCATCTGTAAATGGAGCAAAGTCCTCTATCATCTGGGTTCTTTAGAGAATTATCCAGGGTCCCCATAGGAACCACTGTGGCACTTTACGTAAATTAAGAAATGTGCTTTACAATCAATAAGAGTGCATCTAAATTCCAAAATCAATCTCCATAATAGTCTATGTGTTTCCTACTGCCAAAGGGGCCCTTTAGAGTAGTGAGAGAAGATCTTCACCCTGAAACCCACAGCGTCCCTTTTCAGCAGGAAGTAGCTAAGAGAATACGCCATCCCCTTTTCCTTATGACTCAGGGTGAAGTCTCTCTCAGGGAGGAGTGATAGGGAATGGCAAAGGACACACTGACAAAGAAGATTAATCAGAACTGGCTTTGACAAGCACTGTGGCATTTGGACAAGAACAAACTGGGAGGAGGGTAGAGAGAATAGTGCAACAATGAATGAATGGAAACCCAAAATCTCTGTAAATGTTTATGAAAATTAATAAAATATAATTATAGAAGAAAAAAAAAAAGAAATGTGCTTTAACAAAATATTCTCCTTTACAGTACAACATACCATGTCATAAAGCTGCAAGCACCTGGCTCTAAAGCCCCTGATGGCGATACTCCTCATGTATCTGTACGCACGGGGAAACCAGCATCCTCTCACTGAGATACCTGCCCTCGTATGTTTACTCCATGAGCTGACCATTGCAGGTGGGAAAGAGGATGCCGGGACTTCCAGCAGTGTTTATTTCATAAATTAGCAAACATTCCAGACTTCTCAACTTTGGATCAACATGATTATTCAGACACCAGAACACAGAAGTTTTTTGCAGCCCATCTAGTGGATCTGTAGAAGAAACAGCTGGTTATCTGCTCCCATAAAGACTAGTCAAGAGACCACACTGTTGATGCTCTGACAGCATCAATGGCCAATCAGAAATCACAGAGGAAACCCGAGAGCCCTGCAGGATCAAGCAAATTCTTTGTCCCTTATCTGAAGACTCCAATTAAATATGTTTAGCTCTTCGTAAATCCTCATAGTATCTTGGCCCTGAAGCCAGCATGTCTATGCAGACAGGGTCAGCTGTGAGCTCAGAGTGGGAAACAGCTCTCTAGCTGAAGAGAAAATAGGCAATTCATTCAAACTACAGCCCTAGGACCCCATTAACCAGATTCATCTGAGAAGAGAGGTTCACATAAAGGGACAGGCTCATGTGACAGATCTTTCAAACAAGCCAGTAGGAACATAAGAAACATGCCTCGTTTTATATATTTTTAGTACCCCACTAAGGAGCCCTATTGGCATAGTGAGGCATGTGGTTTGAATGTACTAGCTGCTCTTGGGAAAGATGGGCAATCTCCTCCTGTGTGATTTATTGCTTCTGAAAACACACTGGAGGGTCAGTTCTGAGTCAATGGTACATCAACAACATGGGAATAGTGATGCACCTATAGAAAAGCAAAGACTACAATTTTCAGTTTGCATTACATCTCAAGATCAAGAAAACGAAAATCCTCACCACTAGACCAACAGACAGTATAACAAATGGAGGAAAGATTGATGTCAAATATTTTGGTTTACTTAGATCTGTAATCAACTTCCTTAGCATCAAGGCCAAGAAACTGGAAGGTGTGTTGGTGCACTGGGAAAAACCTTCTGCCAAGGACCTCTTTAAAGTGCTAAAGAGCAAGGAAGTCTGTGTAAAGACTAAAGTATGTCTGATCCAAGCTGCGGTATTTTCAATTGCTTCCTATGTACCTGAAAGTTGGACAATGAATAAGGAAGAGTGAAGAAGTACTGATGCCTTTGAGTTGTGGTCTTGGCAAAGAGTAGTGACTGTTCCACGAGCTGTGGCACAGGACAGGGCAAGGTTCTGATAGGCTGTTCAGAGGCGGTATGAGTTGTAGCTGACTCAGTGGCATGCAACAGCTTCGGTAGGCTGTTGAGTTGCAACTGAAAGGTTAGCAGTGTGAATCCACCAAAGATAAGGGAGATATGAGCACTCTCTACCCGTTAAGATTTACAGCCTTAGAAATCCAATGGTGGGTCACCATGAGTCAGAATCCGCTTGAAGGCAGTGGCTTTAGCTTATAGTTTCGTATACTATTGCAAAAGAAACAAGAGAAATTAATTTTGACATCATGCTCAGAAGGGTAGAGGGACAATGCAGGAGAAGACGACCCCCAGATGAGATGGACTGATACAGTAACTGGGGCAATGGGGTAGGTGTGTCGGAATCAGTTGAGACTGGCTCAGGACAAGCTTCAGAGATGCTGGACATAGGGTCTCTATGGGTCATAGGCAACTCAATGGCACATAACAAAAACAACAACAACAACTATATTTCATTTAGCCAATACGTTGTTAAGTGCCATCAAGTTGTAGACGACTCATAGCGATCCTATGAACGAAAGACTTGAACAGCTGAGTAACTTTCATTGTTTCTCAAAGTTCATAGATTTTCCAGAGGCAAGCTATTTTGGAAGTGGATGCCATTCTTGCTTCCAAACATAAAACTTACTCTTAGGAAATACAGTTTTACATCTCAATAAAATAGCAAAAAAAAGGGAGAAACAAAGTGATAACATTATATACAAAAGCACATAAGTGTGTACAAACGACCCTCATATTCCAGACTTCTCAAGTTTCAGGCTGGAAATGGTGCTCGCCATGCCATTCTGTGACTGCAGAGCCTACGATGGGAACAGTAGTGTCCACAGCTTCGCTTGCAGGAGGAGCCAAAACCCCAAACCTGTAACCTTCAGAGAATCTAACTCTGAAAGAAGGCGCTGAGTTCTCTCTCCTACAATCTAATGATGTTTGAGTGCACTGCGCTGGACGAATGAGAGGTAAATGCCAGCAACAGCAAAGTCAATAGCCCAGAGCGTGGATGGCCCCAAACCTCACAGCACCTAGTCAGTCAATCCCAGATATCAATTGCAAGTACTGTACAGCCTGAAAGGCTGAGAGCTCTCTTCACCAATATATGTAAACTATCATTATGTCAACATGTAATCAAAATAAAAATTATTAATGAGCTATTAGGTGATTTCTTTTTAATTCTAAGTCTTTGCAATCTAGTGTGCATTTTATTCTGAGATCAATTCATATTAGTTACTTTCACATACTCCACAGACACATGTGGCTCCTAACAGCCACTGTACTGGACAGCAGGAGTACAAACCCAATACCCCTGTGCGTTCATTTCTACCAAAGTTAAACACATACATAATTTAAAGAGACAGACACTCCCAGGAGGCTTTTTCTGAAAACCCAGAGTCATCTACTACTCCCTTGAGCAAACGCCTTCCTCTCCTCACACTCATCTCTGGGTGTCTTTCTCCATTTTTAAAGTCACACGCTTGTACTACAGTAACCTGATCTTCTACCTTTAGCTTTTTACCTCCTGACTCACCACACCCTCTGGAACCGTGGGATTTAGCTCTCTGCCCACTTCATTCCGTCTCCAGCCTTGCACCTCCTTGCCTCTCCCTCCCCCCACACCTGTGTCATGACTGCATTAGGTCAGCAGTCATCGTCCGCATGAGTGCACAGATGCTACGCACAGCTGAGGGCTGCTGTGGGACCAACCACTACCCTTCGGCTTTCCCCTCTGCGACCTGTACTGTCAGCTTTCACTGGACTGTCACGTCAGTAACCGTTCACCTATCTGCTGTCCAAATTTCAAGGTGTTCCATCTGTTTCTTACTTCATGCTCTATGTCCTCATAGGTCTTATGCCTCAACACAAAGAAACAAAAATCAACACATTCTTACTGTTCTATGGGCTTTAGAGAAGGAATGGAGATATAGGAGTGTGTTCAATCCATCATCGTAAACTGGGAGTCTCTCAAACGCTATTATCTCCTCTCAATGGCTGCCCCACTCAGAGTACTCAGGAAGCTGAACCCCCATTTCCTATGTGGTCTCCCCACCTCCAATCCCGCTCTGTTCTAGCATATAACCTCAATTACTGACAGATTTTTGTAGAATGTAAGTCTAGACATGTCATTACACTTAACACACCTTCACTGCTTTCCCAACACCTTCAGACTAAAAACTTAAATAGCTCAAAAGGTGCTCTCAAATCTAGTCTTTGGCCCCAACCCCCCATGACTTTTGCAGTTTTCTCTCTCAGGCCCCAAGCTCCCGGCTCAGCCCCCTTTTCCTGTGTGTCTGCCCTCTCACCTTCACTCGTGCTTTCCTCCCCCTGGCACTCTCCTCCCTTCTTCACCTCCACCAATTCCCAACATCAGCACGCACCCCTCTCGTTACTTTCTGCTTGTTCCTCTCGTCCAGGGAACTCTCTTTCTGGGTGATCTTTGGTTAAGTTAGGCTTCAAGAGAAACAGGCACCTTCCCCTCCACAGTAGCCCTCTACTTCATGATTTCTTCCTCCCACACTCCACCCCAATGTCTAGTTAATGTCGTGCATTCATTTATGTCATTTTACTACATCCGTTTAACCCAGTAAAAACTTTTCTGAATGGCAAAGCCAGTATCTATTCTATTTGTATCTGTATCTCCAGAGCCCTGTGGAGGCATGGTGCACAATACAGATCCAGGAAGCATTCACATGAATGAATATGAATAAATGTAACGCAGAACATAACATTAAGACAGAGGAGAGAGATGTGTGTGGGTTAATGGACCTTTTCAAATCCCATGTCATGAAGTCTGTAGGGGATTGTGCTGCTAACGCAAACAGTGTCTCTCGTGCCGCTCAAATTCACCATGGCTCTGACGGAGAATGATGGACAATCTCCTCCAATGTGATTTACAGCCTCTAGTATCAGCTGGTGAACACTGTGACACTGATGTGTCAAATGTGATAATGGTTACCCATGGTGGGTAGTGTTTGGTGGTGCTCTCTGGCTAAAACAAGCTTGGAAGCAGGAGTGGCATCCACTTCCATAATAGCTTGCTTCCAGAAACCCTACGAACACAGAGAAAGGATGAAAGTCACGCCAACTGTCAAGGACTTTCGTTCATAGGGTCGCTTGCTATAGTTGCCTACGACTCGACGGCACTTCACAACACAACAACAGTATCAGCTGGAGGGTCAGCTATGCATTGGTTCATTGATTTAACAGCAAAAAACTGAGGATCTATTAAACATTTTTTTAAACTAATTTGAAAAAACATGAGCCAATATTTAAGGACGCTGCTGTTGGGATCATGAGGCAAATGGTGGGCATAATTCAATGGGGATTAATTTTATACAACACAATGTATGGGAATGATTGTATGAAATACACAGTGTGAACGAAGGGAAACAATATATACAAATATATACAAATTTTGTATGCAAACAAATAAAAAATTTAAAATAAAGTACACCCAGTACTTGTCTGCAATGCTAAAAAGAAAAAAAAAATTGAAGAGATACCTCATCAGTTTTTTATTACTTTATAGAGAGAAGATTCTTGCTAAGGAACTGGTTCTTATTAATTTCTTCATAAAATGAAGTTGTAAGTGGCAGAGTCGAGTTTTACTCGATGTAGCAGGATAGTCCTGGGAGGATGACATGAGCTCATGCCCCGGTCTCTTCAGGACACACAGCTCCCCAGGTTTCAAGAGCCTTGTCTCTGTCATATTCTTGTAGGAACTGTCCCACAACTATCTATTTACCCAGGGGAATATTTGTAACTGCTTTTTCGAGACAGTGAAACACAGTAACTTTGCCGTAAATTTTGTCCCACAGTTTTGCTTCTCTAAGGGAGGTGAGTCCAGAAGACAAAGCAACAGTGCTTTGTAAAGATGTTAGTCTTGGAAATGCTATGGAGCAGTTCTACTCTGTTCTATAGAGCTACTATGATATGGAATTAATTCGACACCAGTATGCTAGGAGTTTTTTTGTTTGTTTACAGTACAATAGACTTGGTTTTGCTACCCATGTAATTACAGGTTTCTTCATAAGGCTCGAAGAATGGCGTCTCCCCTCGATTCCACGCCAATGAGAGGAGCCTCTCAGTACTCACACTGCCTGTTCCTCCAGCTCCCCTCCGATGCGCTGGGACATGTTCTTCAGCACCCCGATGCTGCCAGAGACCAGCTCCAACTGCTCATCCTGCTGTTCCACAATCAACTGGTGCCAGAGAAATGGGAAATAAGCAATTAAAATCCGTCTTACCTGGTTCCAAGCCCAGCACTCTAGCAGCTGCTAGCTTCTCTGCCAACTTGGGACAATTCGCATTCAGAAGCAAAGCCCAGAAATCAAAGGACCAGACCGACGCCTCCAAGAACACACTGCTCATAAAGGCTGGGTTGTCAAGCTACAGAGAACTCCTGCTGATCCAACCCGTGAACAGTTAGTGGGGCTTGAAGCCACCAAGAGAGACTGGCTTGGACTGGCCGAAGTCCAATCAGAAAGCATATAATAGCCAAAAGCCCATGTGCAGATGACCACTGAGACGTGACTGCATTTGTGAAGAGGACACAATTGCCACCATCCAGGTCTCAGTCCACAACAGGCTGCTTGGCTTAAAGACAAGTCTCTGTATATAGGAAGCCCACACAGAGTCCTTTCCTCCTTCCTCTGGGGCAAACCAGAGGAGGCCGTGGGGCCATAAATCATCTCAAGGACAGCCACTAACTAACAAACAGATGTATTTCTTATTGATTGTGTCACATCTTCCTTTTTTGTTACGCTAGACTGGTGTTAATAGCAACTAGACAACTGACTAAATAAACACAACACTAATGGAAAAAGAACAAAAAAAAGTCATACACACACATAAAAAATAAAACTTCAGAACCAATAGTATGAAAGAATAATCTTCAAATCCTCACTTTGATTAGCTTCCTTTTAGAACACATACCAAAAGCAATACAGACATAATCAGCCATATTCTCCTTCTGTCCCCTAACCTCCCATCAAAGCTATTGTTTTTATACATGCAAATGATGTATATCTTTTTCAGTGAAAAAGTAAAGACTTGGTTTTTCTGTGTACCTCGGGTGACACACACACACACACACACACACACACACACACACACACCCCCACCCACCCCCCAAGTGGAGGCTGAGGAAGGTTTTCTTTCTCAATCAAAGACCCTTTGTGTCATTTTTGGACATCTTGTCTGCTTTTTTACAAGAGACCCAATCAAGCTTGGTGCTCTGTCCTCTGAAGGTTTTAAAAGCCTTTATGTATGCACAATCTTTACACATTTACACACCGTCTACCGAGGAAGGGCCCGGCTCTTCCAACATGCTTGTCATTAGGCAAGCAAACGCCGTGGCTGACAGGGACCCATGGGGGGAATCTACCCACCTCCCCCTCGCCTGGGCTCAGCCGGCTCTGAGGGTACCTGCTGCTGGGCCTGCTGCTCCTCGATGAAGTGGGAGTTGGCTAGCTGCAGCTCTCGATCCAGGCGCCCGTATTTGTCTGCTGTGCCCATGTTCCAGCTCTGGCCACCGCTTTCCCCCAGCAGTGCCTGTGTGAGCAGGGGCAATTGGAGGCAGGTGAAGCAAAGCGTTACTAACTCTGAAAAAGTGATGCACCACAAAACAGTATGGAGAGTTCTGCTATTTCACATCATCTATTTTCCCCCTGGGCCGGCTTTTATGTAGCAGTGTAGACTGGTGCCAGTGTGGTGTAATTTAAGGAATGCCAGGAAGGCCCCTCCCTGTTGCCAAGTTTCCCAACAGGCCTAGCAAATGGGCTTTGTCCCATTAAAATGCAAATAAATGTCTACTTTAAATCAACAAACACTCCATTTGTATACCGCTTTATAGTTTAAAAGCATGTGGTCTCCTAAAAAATCATTTCTTCCTAGGACCCTTGGACATTTACCAGAGACCCAAAGGTCCTAGTCAAACTGATTGTGTTTCATTGTCCTTTTAAATCTGCCTCACAGAGCTTTCTTTAGGGAGAGGCAAACTAGGATGGTGAGCTGCTGAGTCGGCAAGATGCTAAGTTCTAGTCACTTACATGCAGAAGGTGCAAGAACTACCCATGTCTGCTGAATTTAACTAGTGAAGGAAACTCCACGATCTCAGGTTGCATTCCGGAGGGGACCTGGGGGGGGTGCATCACCAGGTAGGTACAACACTGAGCGCCCTGAAGCTAGTGATCCTCAACGGAAGGGCCAGAACTCTTCACCAGCCTCTCCAGCTGCCAAGTATGATGAACTCAAGGAGGTTGGTAGCCAGAAATGGATATGTTTGGATATGTCTTTCTTACACGAAGAGGCCAGCCAGGAATATTGAGAGCTCAGTTCAGGCAGCTGGTTCTGCCTGCGATCCCACAAGCCTTTCTGACACCTCCAAGGAACTGTGCGTGCCAGGCTGCCTGTCACACAAAGAACCGCAGACGCTGGCCACCAACCACCGGCTTTTTCCTTGTAAAGTTGCTACATTTTCTTACCAGGTCCTTCTCCTACTCATTCAATCCACACTCTTATCTTTAGAAAAACTGGGGTTTTGTTGTTCTTGTTGAAAATATATATAAGCAAATTATACACTAACCCAATAGTTTCTACACATACCATTCAGTGATATTCACTGAGTTGTGCAACTATTCTCACTTTTGCCAAATCATTCCTCTAGCACTAACATGAATGAACTCACAGCCTGTAAGCCTTGGTGTGATCGTGTGTAGTTAGTTTTTTAAAAGAATACAAAGCTCAAGGCAGACATACATATTAAGCTAAACGATTGTTTGTTTTAAAGAAGAGTTCAAAGGATATTTTAAATTTAAATTTAAAGATTATTTCAAGGAAATACTTTCTAGGGTTCCTAGTGGAGTTGCACTGCCAACCCAAAGACAGGTGGGTGGTTCGAATCCACCAGCTGCTTTATGGGGGAAAGATGGGCAATCTCCTCTTGTGCAATTTATAGCCTTTGAAAGCTTACATATATATGTATGTGTGTGTGTGTAGATAGATATCTCATTCACTCATTGCCATACAGCAGGCAATATATATATACATATATATAAATAATCTTGTTATGTGCCATTGAGCCAACTATGACTCATAATGACACTATAAGCAATAGTCCTAAACCTTGCCCTATCCTGAGTCAATCTGTCTCCAACACACCTGACCCCTTTGTGACAGTCACTGTGTCAATCCATCTCGTTCAGGGTCTTGCTCACCTGCGCTGACTCTCCATCTTTCTAAGCATGATGTCCTTCTCTAAGGACTGGACCCTCCTGGCAACCTGCCTGAAGTATGTGAGATGAGCTTCACAATCCTTGCCTCCAAGGAACAACCTGGTTTCATCCTCTCCAGGTCACACCTGTTTGTTCTCTTGGCCGCAGATGGTATGTTCAATACTCTTTTCCAGCACCATAACTCAAAGGCATTGATTCTTCTTCCAACATCCTTAGTCACTGTCCAGCTCTCATATGCTCAGCAACTGATTGAAAAGACCATGGCCTATACGACCTTGGGGACTGCCAAACCCCGAATGATTAATTACTAACAATTCCCCTGTCCATCTCTGCCTCGGCTAGCTTTCAGAGGTAAATCTAGTCATAAAGCCAAAAGATCCAGGAAGCTCTACACTCTGAGGTGATTATATTAAAGAGCAGCCAGGAACCAGAGCGCTTCCAACCACTAGGACTTTGGTCAAGTCAAGATGGTAGGTGGTGAGTTGTCACTGGTGGAAAGCAGACTTAAGGCTTTTTGATGAGTGCCTCTGCTTGTAGTTGGTCTTAGGGCTAACAAAATTAAAATTCTCCTGTTCATTTGGATTCAATTTTATATAGATCACCATGGCCCAGTGACAAGCTTTTCAGGATCATAAAAGGGTCAAGTATGTTGCTGTCAAGGAACTCTTCACAGTACTGAAGAGCAAGGATGTCAGTCTAGAGATGAAGGTGTACCTGATCCAGGCCATGGTCTTCACAGGTACTTGCTATGCACCAGAGAGCTGGACAATAACCAAAGATGACAGAAGAATTGATGCCTTCGAGTTGTGGTGCTGGGTAAGAGTATTAAACATTGACTGCCAAAAGAACAAACAGATCTGTCCTGGAGAGGTAAAACCAAGCTGTTCCTTGGAGGCAAGGATTTTGAGACTCTGTATCACATACTTCAGGTGTGTGGCCAGGAGAAACCGATCCTTGAAAAAGGACATCATGCTTGGAAGGGCTGAGGGACAGTGCAGGAGAAGAAGATCCAAGATGAGATGGATTGATATAACTGCAGTAATAAGGGTAGGTGTCAGAGATGTTAAGATTGGCTCAGGATAGAGCAGGATTTAGAGCTATCATGCATAGCATTGCTATGAGTCACAGTGAACTCAACGGCACATAACAAGAACAACTCTGTACAATGAATTGTGTTCTCCTTCAAAATACATGTGAGTGGTAATTTCTTTGTGTCTATGGCTAGAATACCATTGGGAATGGGCTGCCTTTGTTACATTAATGAGGCAGGATTAGGGCAGGATGTATTTTGAACCCATCTCATTTTTGAGACTAAACAAGCAAAGGAGAGATAAGACAGAGATCAGGACACATGGAAGTATCCAGGGAAGCTGTCCTTCTTTCAGAATGGACAGAGGGAAAACCTAGAGCTGGTGCTCTGAATTTGGACTTCTAGCCTCCTAAATGGTGAGACAATAGGTGTTAGTGTGTTAAAACCAGCTATTTGTTGTATTTCTGTTACAGCAGCACTAGATAACTACTTTAATGCATCAACAGACTGTGACCAGAGAACAGGGGCTCCCCAGTCAAGGTTATTTTTTTCCTTGACTATCCGTGATGCATTCTTAGTTGTGGCATAGGTTATGGTGCAAAGAATCATCTAGGCCACACTGTGAATTAGCTAATAAGAGAAGGATATGTGTTACCTACTCCTATGTGATAACTACTCCAAGTACTATCATAGTCAATTACCTCTAAGCTTAAGTGGCAATGAAATGGGAACTCAGAAAAATTAGCCAGCTTGTGGCTATTCGCAAGCTACTTTCAAGAGTTAAAGGCTCTTAATAAAGTTGTTTTGATAACTAAAAAAAAAAAGGAGTTAGAGGCTGATAAAAGGGGCTAGTGGGTGACTTTTCCCAAAACTACTTCTGTTGTGTGGACTCCAGCTCAGCAGCACTGATAGCAACACTCTATCACGTTTCTGAGTCTGACCTTTCAGCTAAGCGCCCAACACGTAATGTGCTGTGCCACCAGCACGCCTATGAACAGGGGGATTGTTCAAAGGGAATAGTGGATAGGAAGGAAAAAGAGAACAATCAGTTGAAAAAAAACAGGAAAATTAAGTAATGTAATTTTATGGAGCCCTCTCCATTTCCAAGATTTTAGGCTATTTGCTTTCATGTTTGAATGGGTTATCAAACATCTATGAATAAAATATTTATTTTATTAATGGCTATTTTCTAGCTAGTGAAAATGGTGACCTAATTTCTTCAGTTAAAAGCCAACTAAATAAACCAATGGTAACTTTCCAGGATCTGACTAGAATAAAGTTAACTTTAAGTCACTTAAAGCAAATAGGGTATCTATAAAATATAAACTGCAATCCTGTCACAAAATCATCTTAACAGTTTAGTGGCAGGCAAGAACATTCTGCCCAAACAAAAGACTCTAAATGAAATCTCTAAATCCTAAGTGGCTGTTGTATATATTTTTAAAGGATTATATTTAAAAAAAAACAACACAATCACTTTATTAAAAATAGCAAATTTCACATATATGGTTTTAACATTTTGTCAACACTGGCCACTGAGAACTACACTTTTTTAATAATTAAAAAATTACTACAGGAGAGGGGCAAAAAGTTATTCCTTTTAACCATTTGTCCCACTGTAATAAAAAAATTACAAGATGATAAAAATGATGCAGCTTTTAAAAAATTTTTATCGTCTTTTTACTTGGTCATCTTAACTTCACCTCTGAGGTACTTATGTAGGGTGTACACTATCTGGTTTTTAGCTCCTTGTTTTATATTGACAACATAAAGAAATGAAGATCCTGGTACATTGCCAAAGGTAGTAAAGCTATTTAATGACCGGATTAGAAGTGGAAAACCTCTCCCTTGCCTTTCAAATATGTGCAAATATTGTGTATTTCCGTAATATTTCATACTATGACTTCCTGGAGATTATTTGTGAATGCAGTTGTTCCTGGTAGGAAAAAGAGTGTATTTAATAGTTGAACAGGAGTTTCTATCATACATCCAAGTGTTTAATTTCAAAATGGAATTTCAGACAAATTTGACTAAACACATTCTCTCAATTATTAAATGTGTAGTGAGCTTTATGGGTAAGCAAGATAGTAGTGGCTAGAGATTGGAAAATAACAAGAGCAAAAAGACAATGGCAAAATCCCTGCCATCTTTAAGGAGTTTTGGGTCCAGGACAGACTGAGACAAGCCCACAGACAATTACAATCCTGAGCAGAGAATCTGATTTACGGACTGTGCTCAAACAGGTACAGGAAAAAAATTCATGAATAAAGCACTGCACTGTAAGTGCTATGGGGAGGGGAAAAGGGATAGCTGGGAGCTCAGAGTGCATCTGAGGCGAGAAAGGGAGGAGAGGAGAGCGCAAAGGTGACGGTGGCAGGCAGACAGGACTTTCCCAAAGTCCAATTCCAGTGTCTTTCCTGGATCAGCAAGCACAGATCATCTTCTTAATAACACAATATGGATGTCAACAGCACTTTTTAATTCTAAATCTTTAACCACATACTTCCTTTAATTATACATTCTGATGTTTGCTTACCTGTCTGCTTTTTCTTTCAGCTAATGCCTGCACAGATGAAGTTGACATTTGATCCTTCATATCCTAATGTGATAAACAGAAGAACAGAAAACAAAAGAAAAATATTCTTAAAGTAAATAAATTGCAATTCTTGATTAAAATGCTCAATATACATATGTGAATAAATACACACACATGCACGCGCATATATATAAAATCTTCTTTAAAAATAAAAAGACAACAATCTTTGGTTTTACTTTCAGAAGTAAAAAAAAAAAAACACAACCCACCAATATAGAGCAAAAAGAGCAAGACTGCCCTATAAAAAAGGCAACAGTGGATACTAAATTTAAATGGAGGAAAGAGGCATTCAATAATGACTGGGATCTTGGTGTCCTAGTGGCAAGGAGCTGCACTGCAATCCCAAAGGGACGTGTTTTGAGGCGCTCTGTGCGAAAAGGTTAGGCAATCTCCTCCTATGTGATTAACTGCCTCTGAAAACCTGCTGGAGGGTCCGTTATGGGTTAGTTCAGTCTCTATGGTACACAACAATAAACAAACCAGCACAGGCACATACAGTGCAAACACTTAATGATGTCCCTTAAAGTTAATGCTATTTTCAGAAAGATTAAAGTCTGTATAATCATTGAAATGAATTTCAAACCCAATTACTAGTAAAACTGGTGTTGCAAGTGGTGGAAAAGAGCGCAGATGTGTGAGAGATAGGTGTCTGGCCTTGCGTCTATCAGTTTTGTACTGTGAATGTTGTTGATGGGGACAGTTCTCCCTTCTGGAGTTAGTAAAGGAAATTCTTTGTAGAGTTAGGTGGAACTCAGACTTCTCTACATTGTCCTTGCTCCAATTTCAATTAGCTAAGTGATATTTGTCTCAATTAGATCGACAAAGTTGAAAAAGATGGGAAATGTTTAGTGTTGGTGAAGGTGCTAAGAACTAAAGAAATCTTTTTTTGAAATAAAACTGAGTGGGGGTTTTTTTTGTAGAAAATATATTAACGTATTTAAAATGTTATGTTCTCATTGAATTCTTCACTACTTACATGGTTTGTGGTTGCCAAAATTTAACAACCTAAATAGCTGCCAATAGGTGAATAGTTGAGCAAAACATAACACAGATTCACTAGTAAAGAGGCTGAGAGCATGGTCTTTCATGCCACTAAGCTGAGGACAGGACCCAGTTGTCAACTTTAATAGTTGGGCAAAGAGATCTAAGGTCTATTTCTTCTATACATTAGAAGGTGTGAAGTCATAATCGGTAAGAGTCAATAAGAGGTACTTAATGAAGAGTGCTTCATAATGTCCAAATCAAAACACCAAGCTAAATTTACTGATGTCAAGTCTATGCTAACTCACAGTGACCATGCAGAACTGTCCCACTGGTTTCCAGGGCTGCCGGTCTTTACAGAGTCTGGCTGTCACATCTGTCTCCCACGAGGTGGTGGACAAGTTCACACCACAGACCTTTTGGTTAGCATCTACGTACTTAACCACTCTGCTGCCAGGGCTCCTTCTTAATCATGTGCAAGCACAAACATTAACTATTATCATCATCACATAAAAACTCCCACAACCATTAAAATTAATAATCTAGAGGTGTTCCAGTTTGGCCACCAGCCAAATGCAGTACTGGGTGTCTGAAATGAGGTCAGCAGTAGGGACTGAAGCTTTATTAGTTGAAATTTCAATTCAGTTATTGGAAAACTGTTAAGTACATCTGGAAAAACTCAAATCTATAATTCATCTGTAAAATTTTTATAAAAATCTATATACATATCAAATATTCCTAATAACAATTAGATATATTAGGTTAAATGAATATATTAAGTTTTCTCTTTTTACTTATTTAATGTGGTCATTTAAAAATTAAGGAGTCCTGATGGTGTAGCGTGCTGTGTACTGGGCTAACAGAAAGGTCTGGGGTTCAGATCTAACAGCCACTCCATGGAGAATGGCTTCCAGGTTACTATGAGTTGGAACTGATTCAACAACAGTGAGTTCCGTATTATTATAAAATTAACTATGACTTCTGGCTCACACCATATTGGTTTTAGACAGGATTACTCTAGATATGTCTCTACTGATACAGAATTAGGTCACAATACGGTTTTTAAGAGTGTGTGTCTCCACATCTGTAAAAAGGATTGGCAAAAAAATATACAAATCTACTGACAGTGATAATTTCTAGAGAACAGACATAGAGAATGGAAGAGCATTTTCCATTTTTAGACATCAAAATTAAGCAAATTTTGCCCCAGTCACTGAGGTGCCACCAAAGACTCAAGTGTTGCCCCTTCTCTTCCCCCATTTCCAAAGAGGGAAAGGAATCGTATCTTAGGTCCACTATCCAGAACCTCCACTCTTTCAACACCTTTGCTGATCCAAATAAGGGTTATGACCTGCTTCCTACTGGGACTGAGGATTATATCATTCAACAGAGTTTAACAGAAAAATGGCAAGAAGACCCTCACAACTGTTGAAGGGATCACTGATAATTACAATAAAAAGGAACTAGTGTAAGTGTCTAAGGAGAAATTTACTTGCAATGGTACTGTAATGGAACACACAGAATATGTAGAAGTAATTAAACTACAGGGTGACCACCTCAAGAACATATGCCGTTCCTTGTAGAGACTGGACTTGGCTAAGGACGACCAGTGAAAGTTCTTCGGTTTTAAGCACTGATGGCTCGTTGGCGCTTAAGTGAGGATTTCCTTGCAATGAGTAGAAAATGTCCCTTCTGTCCCTTGTCACAAGTTTAAAACCACACAGCTTGTATAATGTAATTATTTGGGGGTCCACTTTTAACTTGGACTAGTGTAACTCCTTCAAGCAATAGACTGAAAAGAACAATTTTAAAAAGAAAGAAAATTAAGCAGGTTTCTTCTCACTGTCATTCAGGTCTCTGAGGGCAGGAGCCAACTCACCAATACCTAACAGAAACAGTAAGTGCATGAACAATATGGCCACAACTCTGTAAAAATCTAATTACCACACACCAGGGAGAAACATCCAAGAGAAGAAACAAATATTTTGTTTTTGTGTATTATTTTGAATTTAAGTTTCCTTTGCCATTTTTCTCCTATGAAATTCTCCAATTCTCTTAATTAAGCCTTTATTACTTTGGAACAGACCACCAATTACTCATATGCAAGTTCAAGCTGAAGCTGAGGAAAATTAAACCAAATCCACAGGAGCCAAAATATGACTTTGAT